GGGGGTTGGATAGGGGGCAGGGGTCCTGGGAGGGGGTGGTCAGTGGACAAGGAGCGGGGGGGGGGGTTGGATGGGTCAGGAGTTCTGAGGGGGGCAGTCAGGGGGCGGGAAGTGGGAGGGGGCGGAGGCCAGGCTATTTGGGGAGGCACAGGCTTCCCCACCTGGCCCTCCACATAGTTTTGCAATGCCGATGTGGCCCTTGGGCCAAAAAGTTTGCCCTCCCCTGCTCTAAATGTTAACAAGGTTTTATGTTGGCCAAGAGGGGCTGAGTCTGCTCCTGTTGAGGTCAATGGTGCGTAGGGTGACCAGATGTCCCGATTTTATAGGGACAGTCCTGATATTTGGGGCTTTTTCTTATATAGGCTATTACCCCCCACCCCCTGTCCCAATTTTTCACACTTACTATCTGATCACCCTAATGGCACAACATCCACTTGCTGCAATTGTGCAAGCTCCTGGGCCAGATTTTTAAAAACGCTCAGAGTCAGCTGGCCCAGTGGCTAGATGCTGGCCTGGCAATCAGGCGACCTGGGTTGGATACCTGCTGTGTATCTTTGGGCAAAGTCACTTTGTCTTGCTATTCTCTCTCTCTCCTTGTGTCTTCAGACTGCAAGCTCTCTAGTGCAGGAACTGCCTCTTGCTGTGTAGTTCTACAACAATGGGCCTGATCTTGGAATCTCTAGGGGCAACTGTGCTAGAAATAACAGCTCAGCATCCACCCCTGTAGTCAGAATTGCTCCTCTCCCATTTAGACACCTAAATAAGGGTCAGATTTTTTTTAAAATGCTCACCAGCACCCAGCAGCTGCCATGTTAAAAAAATCTGACCCTTATGAAAGTGCTTAAGTGGGTAGTGAGTTATTTTGGAAATCTGTCCCATCGTGTCTAACAGTAAGTGATATAATCAGAACACTTAAGACCCCTTTGATCATGGAATCAGTTCACAAGCATTAACTATTACTAGGACTATTGTTTTAGTACGGTAGTCAATGCACTGGCAGCAGAATCCCTTTCATTGGTGCAACAGGCTGAATCCAGGAGGCTGAATCCAAAGCACATCCATTCAACCAGTGCATCTTGGGCTGCACTGGAGAGATGCTAAGCACCTGTAACTCTCAATGATTTCATTGGGGTTTGTTTGTGCTCGTCCTCTCACAAGATCGGGCCTCTAAAAAAGAAAACTGCATGTATTCTGAGAAAGAGCCCCAATCTAGGGTCCTCCCCTCTGAGTGCACTGAACAGGAGATGAGGGTCCTCCCCTCTGAGTGCACTGAACAGGAGATGAGGGTCCTCAGCATCTCTCAGAATCTTGCACATTTGGGCCATAACATCCCATTTAGTCTGATGGCTTCTGTGCAAATACAAAATTGTGACCACTAGAGGCCACCCCACAAAATGGTATGAAAACACAGCTCCTGGTCTCTGCTTTCTCTCTCTCTCTCTTTAGTATCTTGCACTGCAAACAAGCTTTACCATTCCCAACCAATAGGCTGGGTCTGCCATTTAACACCCTGCCTAGCAGCCAGTAATCTTAATCATACATGAGTCTCCCAGCTGACTGGCAGGTCTAGCATCAAATCACAGTATCTTGAGATGAGCCAAACACTGCCGCAGACTGGAAGCCCTAAGTTGGGTAAGAAATTAAAAGCAATTTGTGTAAATCTATATCCCTGGGTGGAAAGTATCAGCAAAGATCCCTTCATCACTCAGCCTAAGTGGAAAGCCAGATGAGTGTGTCTGAAACTCAGATTGGGTGAGTGGCATGAATGGTTTTGCATGGGCAATAGAAAGTTCATGAATTATCTATCATTTCTGGTCTGATTCATGTTTTCTGTCGGTCTGGGAACCTATTATGTGGCTTCTTTGGATTTGTTGCTGCTGGGCATTACTCTAAAAAGCCAGCCTGTTTTATTTTTAGGCTCAGAAGTAGCCCGTACAGGGCCAGGTGGGTTGCCTAAACCAGGAAGTGACACGGAAGAACTTTTTTGTTTGTGTAGCCAAGCTCTTGATTTGGATGGTGCTTGGATAGTCATTCAAAAGTAAAATCTTGCTCTTCCCTCTGCAGCCTGAGACCGCTGATTTGCTAGGTGACTTGCGTCTTCCTCTGCTGGGCTTGTGAAGGGCATTTGCTGCATTTGTTTTAACCGCTATCACTGGGGGTGGGCCGGGCAAATCCTTTATAGGCCTAAGACTTGGAAAGAGATTCTGGTTTGTAGCCAAGCATGGTACTGAGTAGTGGAACTACCGGATCCTAGTCCCATCTTTGCCACTTAATTATTCTGTGACCTTGGGCAACTCACTTAGGGTCTGATTTTTTGGGGGGTGTTTATCATCCATAGCTCATATTGGCTTCAGGATCATGTGGCTTCACTGGGAGCTGTGGGTGCTCAGCACCTCTGAAAATCCAGCCCTTAAACTGCTCTGTGCCTTGCCTCCCCAGCTATAATAAGGGATCACTTTGAGTCTCCGTTCCTGGGTGTTTGTAAAGTGCTTTGACATTCTCCAGTGAAAGGTGCTTATCAAAGTGCCCGCTACTGTTAGGTCCTTCAGGTGTGCATGGTGCTTCCCAGACAGCTAGAGTGGGGCTTGACCCCAGGAGCTTGAAGTCTCTAAGGGCCCAATCCTGCTCCCACTGAAGTCAATGGGAGCATTGCCATTCATTAAAATGGGAGCAGGCTCGGACCCCCTGGTTAGAGCAAATGAAAAGCGGCACTATTATCTCGGTTGTGTGGTGGTGGAAGGACCTGTGATGTTGTGTCTCCTGAGTGTACAACACAAGGTCACTAGGCACTAAAGGAGTGTAAAACAGGCCTTGGAGGACAGAGAGCTTTTTGACTCCAGCTCTCCAAATGGGATGGCCTGACCTTTAATACCACCCAAAGGAACGTTTGCCTTCAGGACAACATGCAGTTTAAGTATCGGCTCAGATAAATTACAGGTTTCAGAGTAGCAGCCATCCGAAGAAGTGGGCTGTCAGTCCACGAAAGCTTATGCTCTAATAAATTTGTTAGTTTCTAAGGTGCCACAAGTACTTCTGGCTCAGATAAACTGATTTCTATGCAGTTGGGGCTGTGTGGGTGTCTTGAGGAAAAACCTTAAACACTGAGGTCCCATCTGATATGTGCGAATGTTAGTTTGATTCTGGGGAATTTCTTATAAGAGTAAAGGTTTGCCTGGTGTACTTGGCCAGAATTTCTCATCCCATCCTCCTTCAGTTGACCTCCTGGCTCCCTGACACTTGTGTGTGTACGTCACTATAAATACACTGCTCTCAGGTGGCAAGTTTTGTGATGATTGTTCATTGATTTACCTTTTATTTTTTAAATCTTTCTTAGTGTCTAAAATCTCGGGAAAGATAAGCTGCTGTGCTGGTGATCTATTGGAAATACGGATTGATCCACACCTCTTCCTGGAGTGATTGGCTTGTCCCTGCTTTGCCGTGTGGGGGGGAAAAAGGAGACCGCAGCAGAACAGCAATTGTGAGGATGCTCGGATTCCACTGACCAGCCCGTTCCTTAGCTCACGGGAGCAAGATGGAAAAGGAGAAGTGGGGTAAAGTAATGGGCAAGGAGGCACCGGCTGTGCCCAAGTCTCTTCTCTAAAGAGCGGTTGCGGATGTTGAGGAAGCCGCAAGGGAGATGCGTGAATAAACCAAAATGGAAGGAGGCCCAGATCTGCAGCTCCAGCAGCTTCCACTCGCAACAGCTGCTGTATCTGTACTGCCCCATGAGGATCCCTATTCTTACAAGGTCAGATGTTCACCAAAGGCACTGCCTAGTAGGCCTAAAACTTGACCTGAATGGCGCTGGGATTTATGTCCGGCTTGGAAATATAAATATTGTCTTGAGTGTGCTGAGCTCTCGGATCGTGTGCTGCGTGTTTGTATTACAGCAGCGCCTAGGGGCCCTCATGGGCTAGGTGATGTGGATAGACATAGTGAGGCACAGTCCCTGCCCTGAAGGACCAACAGTGAGATAGATAAAGGAAGTGAGACAGGAAGGATTATTGCCTTGCAATTTCTAGAGAGGGAGCTGAGGGACAAAGGCCCAGATCCTCAAAGATATTTAGACTCCTAACTTTCACTGACTTCACTGGAAGTTAGGAGCCTAAATAACTTTGGGGAGCTGGGCCAAAGATGCTAAGTGACTTGCCCGAGGTCACACAGGGAACTGGGAAGTGAACCCAATGCTTTAATCAGAAGCCCATCCTTCCTCTCTAACTGGTCC